GGGGGGGGGGGGGGGATCTATCCCACATATCTACTCCCGTAGATCTGCCACTAATTGAGTATTTGTGTTTATGTTAACTATGCATGTAATACAGTGATGATGGTCAAGTTTATAGCTGGAATATTATTTAGGATTTTGATTTTGTTTACTGTCTACAGGTTTTAACGCTTATCAATAAAAAATAGCAATGTTGTAATGATAGTAATGTGTGTAATAATATTTAATTACCTATAATATAGAAAATTGCTACTTTTATAAATAAATGGTAAAACTAAGATGTTTTGTATTAAGTAATTGTAGGGGGCTTTGTTCCTTACGGATCACCTTGGGGTGGAAAATTTTATCACTCCCAAGTTTTATACTGAATTAGTGCCACATATGAGTACCACATTTTAAGATGTTATATATAAATTTAAGATATATTTTAAATTGAGGTAAGATCCTCCTAAATTAATATAAGTACTACAGTGGTGATGAAAGGACAGCATTCCTACAATTTGTAAAATTTAAATTTTTCATCATTCCACTTATTTTTAGTTAATATTTCGCATATTTATTAACACAAATAATTATTATGAGGTGCAAGAATTTATTTACTTATTTTAAATCATTCTGATCACTATATACTTATTAAGGTATATGAAAAAAGATAAAAAACTGAGTTAATGTAGTTTTTTTGTTATTAATTATTGCAAGTTATGAAAATGTTAATATATATAATTGAAATATTATAATTACAACTCATTAAAAATGTAAGTTTTTAAATAAAAAATAAAAATAAATAATGGTGGTCCTTAATGGACCAGAGACAATAAGAAGTACAAAAATATTATAAAAATGTAAAATAAAAAAAAATAGAAGTATTAATAGAGATTTATTTTACTAATATCAAAGTAAAATATTAAGTATTGATTTATTATACTAGTAATAATAATAGTATTTGTGATTCATGGTTTTGTTAAAATTATTGACATTTGATCTTCACAACAATTCATACTTAAAATTAAAATATATTTGTACTTCGAAATAAACAGTTCTGAAATAATGTTAAGTAATTTAAATTTATTATGAACTAATAAAATGAAAAATTAACTTCTTAACTACAGAACCAGATAAACAATTGTCAAGAATAAAAATATTCTATATCATATCATAATGTACTATATATTTTCTACATTAATTTAATAAAAAAAATTAGAAATTAGTTAATTAAAATAATTTTAAAAATCATAAACTACAAATTAAATTTTTCAATAATTTACATTTATTACTAAAATTTTAAGTTAATAAATGTGGTTTACTATTAAATAGTATCAACATTTTTTTTCTTTTATACATATATATAAAACATTTTAATAGTTAATAACCATAAGAAAATACATCAAAATAAAATTAAAATTAAAAAATAATCACATATATACACAATATTTTAGATAACCTAACCTGTATAGAGTACAATAAGACACATAACTGTAGTTAATAACGGTATTTGGTAGAGTAATCTTTAGGAGAAACGACTAAACCACGTCCTTTTCTCGCACCTCTGTAAACAGTTTCAACAATATCAATCATTTCTTGTTTGTCTTCAAGCGCCCAATTAATTTTGTTGTTGTTTCCTGTGCCCAAATCAATCATAATGTGTTTGTTGCGAAAGAAAAACATAACTGTACATGGATCATATAATTCATACCTAAATGGAATATTAATAATTTTTTAGAAGAATATAATAAATAAATACATGATATATAATCAAATTAAACCTACATTTTATTAAAATCAGGTACTTTAGTGATGTCTACTAAATATATAACAGCGAAATTCTTCACTTTTTCAGCAATATTGTATAGAACTTCATCCATTTTCATGCATGTCGGATCCCAATCGTGACCAAAACGAATAACCTGTGGATAATTATATAATCAAGCTTTGAACGTATTAACCAATCAATAATTGGCCTAGGGTCACAGATCAAGATTTCTATCTTGAAATCGTGCTTAACCGTGTTAAAAAAAAAAAAAACTGAACATACTACAACTCTGTCTTCTTCCGATAAAATTGCTTGATCGACTTGCCAGCCGTTAAACAAATGCGCTAACATATACGACATGATGAACAAATTTTGATTAGTCGACTTTTAAAGAAGAAACAATCAACAACTAATGTTCAACACAATCAATGCTGGAAAAATATTTTACTAGAAGAATAATACTGAAATGTATCGCTCAGTAGTTACGAACATTGATAACAAATTATTGTTTATATACACCCGTTACACTGCTGGTTATCAATATTTAGTATTATTATGGAACTGGATAAGGCATATTCTGTTTAATACAGTGTAGCCAACAGAATAACACGGTAAAAATTGAACCGTTCAGTACTTTTTTAACAAGTTGACTGCCACGGTGTTTTTAAAGAGCTGTCCTCAAACGCTATGAGTACCAGAATAGGTACTCACTGGGTTTGTCTCGTGCTCCGTTGTATTTTTGGACCGATGCTAACATGGGCCATGGGTTTTTTTTTCATATTTCTTATAATTTTCTTATTGCAATTGTTTATTTATGTCATTTAAATAATATTTCAAAAAAAAATAAACCGATTTGGAGTAAGTACCATAATGGTGCTCAATGCCTATTATATCATATTATTCAGTTATACGTTTATTTTCATTCAAATCGTCGCCGAAAATGGTATCGAAATAAGCATTTGAAATTTTACTAAATACAAGTTTATTAAATGCATTAATATTATTTACTGCTGTAACTGGAAATAAAATAGTATCCTAGTTATTTCACCTGAACATTCAACATACCATACCATTCATGCACAACTGTCAATATGATGTATTGCTATTGTCTTTATTTAGATAAATTTAGATTAATAAACAATTTTGTATATTATTTATGAAATTATTCCTGTGAATAATAATTTTACTATTAAACAACTAATGATTAAACTGAAATAACTACAAAAATACATACAAAATGTTATATAACATAAAGATTGTAAAAAAAAAATCATTCGGGTTATATGGGTTTTGGGTGTTAGATTTTTTAAGAGTTTTTAGGGGTGTTACTGGTCCGGGTTAATTCGGATTCAAAGATCTGATTAACATTGAAATACCATTCAATCTTATTTTCAGCAATTTCAGTACCCCCAATATTTGAGCTCTATTTGCGCCCATGGAACAGACAGATACTTTTTTTATATTACCGCACTCCCTTTATCAGTACCCACGAGCCGCCATTATGGTTGACACTGTAACAATTGCCACTCTTCAGTATCTGAGCGTGCCCATTGACGAGTGTATGATGTTAGCCAGACGCGACAAATAGTATGTTTAATATTTCTAATCACACAGTAATCGTTGCGAATCAAATGCTATGTTAGTTTCTTAAGTTTTCATTCTCATCGCAGTAAAGTTCCTTTTTTTTTTGTCGATGAACTTTTAACTGCACTCAATTGTTGTATTCGGGAACTAAAGTTCCGTATTTCTGTGCGAAACGATCAAATTACTCCCCTTTGGTATTGGATTAACTTTGAATAAGTATTGGATAAGTCAGCTGGACGTGTTCGTAAGACGATTTAAGAAATACGACATTGTTCCAATAGATTTTTTT